ACTGTCATCTGCACTGTCATCTGCACTGTCATCTGCACTGTCATCTGCACTGTCATCTGCACTGTCATCTGCACTGTCGCCGGAATCGCCCCAGTCCTCGTAACCGCCACGGCCACTGCGGCGAGTTCGCCTCTTCCGTTAGTCTCCGGTTTCTGGGTCGACGTACGTATGTGCGACGTAACGTTGAACGTTCCAGGCCCGTGGTCGGATTCGTTTTCTCTTTACAGTCGACGTCGACTCCTCCAGACGCGGGCTAAACTCGGATCGATTAAGGCTGGATTAAATCGTAATCGACCCCGACTCCCGTTATCCTTGGTTCTCCTCGTCGTCGAGGAACGTTCCATCCGCGATCGATCGTACCTCGAGGATTGATTTTGCCATTGAACGCGCGCTCCCTTGGATTGCTCGGTTTTCCCGTGAAATCATAGTCGACGCGACTACGAAAGCTGATCGGTTCGTCTTTTGAAATCGTGTTCGATCGAACGTTGCCGACGCACGGAGATTCGGTGCAAGTTCCGTTGAAACAGAGGGAAGCGGTTCGGACGCGAGAGATCGACAACCGCCGATCAATAGCGAATCCGTGCACGCGGTACAGGGTCAGATTTCTTTTCGTCCACCGTCGATGATATCGTTTTCACAGTTGCACGCTATTAATGATTGTTCAAGCTATAGGAGTAGCAAAGAGCGCGAGAGCGAGTCGTCTGATGAACCTCGAGGCTCGAAGAATCTGAGGATCGAAGGAAAACACAGTTTGCCGAGTCATGTTCGCCAAGTCGAGGGCTAGTGGTTCGACGCCGAGCGTTCTCCTTCCGGATCCTCTGCAGAATTTGTACGACGTGGGGAAGCAGTCGGCCACTGCGGGTCCCGAAAACGCTTGGCGCATATACGATGGATACGCGAAAGCGGATAGAAAGGTGACCGAAAACGAGCCTGTCGCTAGAATTCCATTACCCCGTGGCAGCATTCACGAGCGAAATGCATTTCAGGAAGTCTCGATATTTCTGTTCGACAAGAGGTCGGTCGAGAAACTTTACAAGCGCAAGCGGAAAGAGATGGTTACGGATATACTACGGAAAGCTGCGCAAAAGATGGAACGGTTCTCTCATCCGAAACTACTTCAGGTGAAGATTCGATCGTGTTGTTGCATTGCTGTTCACTGTAGAACTCGTCGCTCGTTGTTGCTCGACAGGCGTACAAAGTCGAAGAATGCGCGGACAGTCTGGCGTTCGCTTCGGAACCTGTTCTCGCCAGCCTCGCGAACGTTCTGGCTTATCAGGAGCAGCGGGCAAGCAATCTCGACCAATCGTCGAGCAATGTAACGAAACACGGTACTTCGGCTACCGGACATCGTACGACTTTCGCGAAGGAATACGAGTTGCTCGATTTTGAGATCAAATACGGACTGTTGCAGGTGAGAAAGGCCGAACGCGCTGAAAAAATCGGCGTTTACATAATTCTTTGTTTACGCGTGACAGATCACCGAAGCTCTGCTGTTTCTTCACGGGACCGGCAAAGTTCTTCATAGAAACGTTTGCCCCGCTAGTATTATAATTACGAAGAGGGGCACATGGAAGCTATCTGGACTGGAGTTTATCGGTAAGTTGCGCGCTGTCGTTGTTGCCTTTGCCACTCTGGTTGCTGTTGTTGCTATTTCTTTTGTTT